TCATTACTCCAGTCTTCATTGTCACTTGATCCTTCAGAAATCATTCTAATATGCTGATTTGCTGCTCAACAAACAATTCTTATTATTATCAATGTTGAAAACAGTTGTGCATCTTCATATTTTTGTGGAAATTGTGATACATCTTTACTATCGCTTTTGATCAATTTGATGCATCCTTGCTGAATAAAAGTATAAATTTCTTTCCAAAAAAAAAAAGTATATACTCCAAACTTTTGAATGGTAGTGTATGTCAACTAGAGGTCTGCGCGGGACTGTTTTTTTAGTCCCGCTCTCGCAAGGTTCTATTCCGCACCCACCCGCTCCCGCTATATATTCACTCTTTGTTCACCTGCTGTCCACTTAGAATGGTTTTCTACCTGACCCGACCGTTCCCGCTAAATTTAGATCTCGTTTCCAGAATCTGACATTTAAATTTCCGCTGCTGAAAGAAAGCGAGATAGGCTGACAAATAAACGTGTAGTCTGCACAGAATTGTATGTTATTTTATTCGTCTTGTCAAGAGTCTTGAATTTATTGACTTTGACGTGAATTTATATGAATTATCTTAAGACACAAAATTTGTTTAATATTTTATGCAACACAGTAGGAAAAAAAGTGTCAGAGAAAATAAAAATGTTATACAAAAATTGTATTTCTTATTTTTATTCGTCTTGTCGGGATACAATTCGTTTAACATTGACAACACAATAGGGAAAAAGTGTGGCAGAGAGAAAAAAAATAAAAATGTAGGTTGTACAAAAATAGCCTATTAGCTATTTTTATTTGTCTTGTCAAAATACTAAATGCGTTTGACAAATGTTCTGTTAACACTAGGGATGCACCGATACCGAACTCGTACTCTTAAAATGCCCCGATACCAGATACCACACAGCATGTGATAAGCGCCATATTCAGACAAAGAAACACTGACAACAGAACAACAGACAGCAGAATGGAGTTAAGGATGTCTACTACGAAGTATATGTATGCAATGAATATAATATTAAACATTCAGTATTAATGCCTGTATAGCTGATGTGCGCGAGCTGAAACCAAACATGATTCAGAGACCAGATATAATTTTTGATATTTTTTTTACTAGTGGGTGCAGGACACTATAGTTCATTTATGTAAGTGAGGATAGCAAAATAAAGTAAACTGTGACAAATCATACCCAAAATTTCTTCATACAGTGCACTACCAGTAAAATTGATACAAATTTTGGTCCAAAAATGATTCAGATTCGAGTCTGGGAAAAAAACTGAAGTTGAGGTTTGCATGAAGATGGGTGACAGCATGCCCAGGAGACTACAGGCTGTCATTAAGGCTAAGGGCTGCCCGACTAAGTATTGATAGTTGTGTAAATACTGTCATACTAACAGCTGCCTGAATAATTTTTGGTTGATTGTAATCTATTGCATACCTTTCTATCAAAATTATCTAACATTATCAAGATTAATTTGTTCTGACACAGTTTAACTCTGAGTTCTTGTCATATTTTATTACCATTTTCTAAACTATAGCGAATCAACTGTGATAATGTGAGAAATGTTGAAGGTGACTGAATACATTTTGGTTTGACTGTATCTATTTGATAAATGAAGTTAACCAACTACCTATACATACCCTTTTGGTTTCTGTATGCAATATTTAAAAAATGTACAAATGCAATAAAAATATCGGTATCGGCAAGTACCAAAAAAAATAAAAGTATCGGCATCGGGCAAGTACTGGAAAAAGTGGTATCGGTGCATCCCTAGTTAACACAGTAGGAAAAGTGTCACGGAGAAAAATAAATAAATGGACATCTTTCATTTAAAATTAAAGGCTAAGCAAAATATAAACAAAACCGAGTTGAACGTCCTTCAAGGACAGCGCATCCACACTTTGCTCCATCCTTATTCTGCTCTGTCACTCATCGACAACCTGCCTGCTTTGTTTGAGGGCCGTACACTGTAAAAAATGACTGTGAATTTAACGGTAAAAGACTGTAAAAATGCTACAGTAAAAACCTGTTAAATGGTTAACGGTAAATTCCCCTACTATATACGGTGAAAAACTGTATTGGACATTACATGTATTGGACATAGTTTTACGGTAGTATACCGTTTTTGGAAGTGAAAAATACCGTATAATTTACAGTGAATAACCGTAAATTGACATTCCCAGAATTCCGTGCGTTACATTTCAAATTTAATGTTGTTTTGTTGAAATAACTATGTTCCTTCTTAGTTTTTTCTTATCAGTTTTGTATATTAGGTTTGTGTGTTACACCTAATGTTGTTAAATTAATGCTTATTGCATTATTTCAGTGTCATGTGTGTTACTATGATGGTGTTTAGTGTTTGTGTGAATGACACTGTGCACCTTCTATACATGTTATTATTTAAAAGCTGCTTGAGATGGGCTTTGGTTCATCATGTGACTTTCTCATCACCACCTGCATTTGGTCGTTATCAGTGTATTACAAATGTACAAAACAGATTTCAGTACTTCAGTAGGTTGGTATATTAACATTATATCAGTTAATGAAATTATGGTATTTAACTGTAAATTTAAGTTAAAACCTAAAACATTGCAACCGTATTTTTTACGGTAAAATTCCGGTAACCACAGCTGCTGGTTTTTTACCGTAAATTTTACGGAATTTTTTTTACAGTGTATATTTACCACAGGTACAGCCTGCTCTGAGCATCATTATGCACATGCTGCGCACAGACCACGCAAATAAAACGCGTGACGGTAAAAGCATGCGTGCAGCGCGTGCATAACAGTCCTGAGCGCAAGCTGTACCGGTGGTCAATAAGAATAAAGCACAGATATGCTGTTCTAAATGGACGTCTGGAACGGGATATTGTTAGACCGCCTGCTCCCGTTCAAATTACACCAGAGTTACCGACCGCTACCGCGTTTTATTCGGGAATTTAATCCCGTGGCGCAAAAAATCCAGTCGGGTCCTGCGGCTCTCCCACGGGAACCTCTAATGCAGACCTCTAATGTCAACACTCGGGCCGTTTCATCGCATCTCAGGCCGTAGCTCCTTACACAAACACAACTTACAAGCAGTGTGGAAACAGCATAAGAGCTTTAGATACACACACTCACAATAAAAGTTCACCAGTGAAGGACAGAAGAATAAAAAGATGAAGAAAAGATAAAATGGAGAGGAACAGTGGAAGTGTGGAGTGGAAAAGTGATCTGGCTGAAACGATTTGTACTGTAGCGCAGCTGTGTGGTGTCTGCCCCCTCTCTCCCTCAGTGTTCAAAGAGAAAAACCTGGTGTTAGAGAGACTGTTTAAATGTGTGTCCACCTGAAACAATGACAGTGAGAACGGGGCCAGGGGCCTGTGGAAGGGTCTGCATATTGAACGGATGAGGGCTAAGCTCGCCTGTATGTTTAAACACACACACACACACACACACACACACACACACTCAGGGCTGAGGTCATATGTTGTGAGAGTCTCTGAGTGTGTGCTGTCTGAAATCACATAGAAGAATATGCTTAAACACACAGGACTTATTCATGAAACGCAAGCAGTGTAAATCATACATGCTGTAAAAATATTCTTACATTAAGTACGGTTTATACATATTATAAAAATCGTATTCAATCTTAATTTTTTATTTTGTCGTAACATTTGTTTAGCATTTTTTTCCAAATCCTAAAACTGTATTTATTGCTTGGTTAAAATTAGATTTTGTTTCCAAGATTGTCAGCCATTCGTGTTGCTGTTTCCCAGTAAAAGGCATGTTGATTTATATTTTTAACCTTCCATTTACATTGAGAAAAATGTAGGTGATTTTTTTATTTGTTTTTACCGAATATGTTCTACTGTGTGCTAATTCATACACAGGCTCTTATTATTACGGTTCTATTTTCAGCCCTATTGTAAATGCAATGAGGTCAGTCTAATGTCACACCAGTAGACAGTAAAACTCTGCAATGCATATGATGAATATATAGATCAACACTGAGAACTCTTTTGAGGTCTCTCTATACTGAAACTTCTTTAGGATCACCTTACCCTTCTTTCCCCAATGTCCTTCCTTATTACCCTGCGTTCTATCACTCAATCTCCTCATTTCTCTCTCTCTCAGTAATGTTCTCAGCACTTGGCTAACACCCTGCACGGCGGTGCTGGAATGTTAACTAGGTTCCTCTTGACGCTGCACCTCTGAAATATATGTGCACTTAACCCCTTAACTGTCACTCACATTTTTGAACATAGACATGAAAGTGCACGATTCAAACTTAAATTTGCATAATTCATGAACGAAAACATTTGTAACATGATATGGATGTACCATTTTCATGGTAATGCAATATTTGATTTTAAAATGGGTTTCAAAGGATGAATTTTGAGATTTAAAGTTTTCAATTGATATATCATTTCTGATGATTTCTAAAGTGTGATGGAGAAAAAGGCAACAAAAAAGACTTTTTTTGACAAAGGTCAGAACTCCTGTTATGATGTAGATTTTTGAAGTGCACTCTTGTCAAAAATTAATCTATTACTTTTCCTACATAATTTTTAACGAAAACATTGGTAAAATATCTGATCCAAACTTAAATTTTTATAATTCATGCCCGAAAACATTTTGTAACATGATATTGATGTACCATTTTCATGGTAATGCAATATTTGATTTTAAAATGGGTTTCAAAGGATGAATTTTGAGATTTAAAGTTTTCAATTGATATATCATTTCTGATGATTTCTAAAGTGTGATGGAGAAAAAGGCAACAAAAAAGACTTTTTTTGACAAAGGTCAGAACTCCTGTTATGATGTAGATTTTTGAAGTGCACTCTTGTCAAAAATTAATCTATTACTTTTCCTACATAATTTTTAACGAAAACATTGGTAAAATATCTATTTAGGAGTCTTAGACCTTTCCAATGATATATAGTTTGTCATGATTAGATTAGGATTTAATTGTAATATAGTGAAGTAAACTTAGGCGTCCCACAGAGGGGACGGGTGACAGTTAAAGGGTTTTAAAGGGCTGTGTGATCACGGATGCTCCTTATATATGTGAGCATGGCTTGCTCACCTGTACTTAAACTTCCATCTTGTTCCATTTACCTACTACTGAATCATTCACACATGGTAACCATAGATTTGCACAAAATATCAGTTACTGGAGTTGTTGTGTTTATTAAAACTGCTAACTTCACTTATTAAAAATGACACACACACACACACACACATATATATATATATATATTAAGATATTTAGTGAAAATGTGTTTATTTTTGGGTGACAATACAGTATATATTAAACACGTATGCTTAAGAGGAGACTGGTGGTAATTGTAATTGTAGAGTGATGAAACTTATTTGGGTTAGTAGAGTAAAAGATCTGTGATCGTTTAATTTTGTGAAAATATTTTTTTATACTCATTTAACAGTCTGACTTATATACATAATATATAAATTGATGTAAACATTTTGGTTAATTGATTGATTGTCGACATAATTATGTAATTTTCCATGGCTGTGAGGCCAGATACAACTGTAACTGTAGTTATAAAATAAAAACTGTATGATTTAACGTTTAAAAATTTGAATAAATATTATTTCCAAAACTATATATACTTCACAGACGTATACACACAGCATATATATATATAGATACTGTGGGCTAGTATAGGAAATTTAAAAAGAAAATGCAATTGTCACCAGTCTCCTACATTTACAAATGTTCAAATTTTTTATTCCACACGTTTTTTTTTTTTTGCATTATGTTTACTTTTTATTCCAACCATAAATATTTTCTCTGTCCCTGCAGGTAGTGCGAACAATACAGAATGTGTTTTTATGGCGGCCAGTATTGCTGGATGTGCGTTGAACTCTCAGGTAGTGAATTTGACTTTGCAGGAGCAAGAGCCCTGGGAGAGGAAAGATAGGCCACTGCAGGAGATTTTTACCATTCTCACACACCCACCACTCTCAAATGCTACAGTGTCCAGGGCCGTTTCTGACATTAATATGCCAATTACATAGTTATTACAATGTAGTAATGCTGTAGTTACTGTTTGTAATGAATTTGCTGAAATTGCAGTGGCTGTGTAATTTGAACTTATTTCAATGAAGAAGAAGATGCTTCAGGCTGAATGTGAGCCACATTGCTGCATGCAGTCTGCAGCACTGAATGACTCCAGTTTCGTATCAGAAAGAGAGAGAGAGAGAGAGAGAGAGAGAAGTACAGGAATTCATTTTTTTTTCGTCGCTGATGGAATGAAGCTTTGTGTCGGAGCGCCCTTGTTCTTTTAATTACTTCCTCCTGGTTTACAGCTCCAGTGAATTTTAATTATCCAACATGCTAATTTTTGGAAAGAACATCTATTTGGTATCAGGGCGTTTTGGGAGAGTTGGATGTAAGCGCACTTGGAAGAATGCAGCGCATGTTCGTCTCTGGGTGATTTTGCTGCTGTAGCTGGTGTTAGGAAACGTTGAGCTCTTCCAACAACTCCGGTGTGATGGGAAATAGTAATTATGATGTCATACGGCAAACGTCCCACCAAGAAAATGCCCTCAGCTCAGCTAAAAGAAAAATGACAGCCCATAATAATATGTCCATCTGTGATACTCAGCTATACTGTGATATTCTATAATTATATTCGCAGGACATTACAGCATGGCTCTCTCTTTCCTTCTCTGTTTTTCTGCAGTGGGAGCATGTTCTAGATAAGACTGACTGTTATTGGGGTTTAAATGCTAGCAGATGTCGCTTTAATTGATTGAAACAAATTACCAACGCATTGATCCTCGGTTCGAGTGTTCCGTGCGAGTGGCACTGAAGCGGTGTGTGTGTGTGTGTGTGTGTGTTTGTGGGCCTGTGTTTTGCACCGCATAGGAATTTTTCCGGTTTGTGGAGACGCAGCGATTTGCGTACACTGACACAGGACATAAGCATTTAAAAAAGATTTCAAAGCTTGATTTGTTCTCTATAGGTTAATTCAACCTTTTGTTCATTCATAGTCAGTTGCAGCTGAATAATGGCCTACATGATTGGTTAAATAGTTTTAAATGGCTGCATTGTGGAAATATTCATTTGTGAGCTGCCTCTGTAGGAAGCATTTTTTAAGAGATCATATTGTAGGCTGAGGAAATGCGGAAATCTGGGATTTTATTATATGATATTATAAATGTATAATTATTGTTTGTTTAATAATTTAGAACATTTAAAACAGGTTATTTTACCCTAAATGTACACTATTGCTTAAATGTTAGTGGTCTATACATTCTATTTTTATTTATTCATTTATAAATATTACTTGCATTATTAAATAACATATAACATAAATAACATTACTATTAAATTAGCTTTTCTATTTTATTTTATTTTAAAATGAATGTCATTCCTGTGATGCAAAGCTGAATTTTCAGCATCATTACTCCAGTCTTCAGTGTCACATGATCCTACAGAAATCATTCTAATATACTGATTTGCGGCTCAAGAAACATTTGTTATAATTATCAGTTGATAATATAAGTTGAAAACAGTTGCTCTGCTTAATATATTTGTGGAAAAAATTTTATTTTCATGATTCTTTGAATTCAGCATTTATTTGAAACAGAAATATTATAGCTGTCTTTTGTAAATGCTCACTGTCATTTTTGATCAGTTTAAATCCTTGGTGAATAACATAATTTCTTTAAAAAATATTAATGATCCAAACTATTGATATTTTAGCACTTTGCATCATTCCTCTTATATCGCTGCACGGTCATGATCAGTTGTGAGTCGAGTTTCTCATGTTTTCTGTGTGTAAAGCTCTGTTTGTATTTAAAAAATTTAAATATTTTTTAAAATTTGTACTGCACTATTTGAACTATGTATAAGCCCTTTTTTGAGTACTCAAAATCAGTCACCCACAAGGTTGAATTCCAGTTCAGATGCTGCTGCACAAGGCAACAGGCAGCAAGGCAGCTCTCTAGGTTTTCAAACACAGGGCACTGACACACTGACACACACTGTTTGATTGACAGCTTGATGAGCCCCCAACGGTAGCACAGGACAAGGAGGTTGGCTAAAGGGACAGAAGATTTAGATCAAACACTGATCTCATCCTGCCACACTCTCCTGAGACCAGACTTTTGTCCCCAGCTCCACCTCTTGGAATACCAAATGCTGCTGATTTACAGACTCAGAAATGTTCTTTAGGGTGTCAACACATACTCTCATTTTAAAATTAAATTGCGGTGCAGTTTAATTTTTCCTGAGTAAGCATTGATACATGCAGTGTGATTAAAAAGTACAGATTTATAAAAAAACGAAATTCATGAATTTACAACACACACTCAAAGGATGGATGGACTGGGAGAAAAATGTCACCATCATTAGGCCACATATTTAAGCCTGCAGAGTTTCCTCAACTGCTACCGAACATGATCGGGAATGAAAGTAAATTAAAACGTATGGGACACACTCTCAGAAAAAAGGTACAAAAGCTGTCACTGGGGCGGTACCTCTTTAGAAGGTACACATTTGTACCTAAAAACTCCATATTGGTACCTTAAAGGTACATATTAGTACCTAAAGTGTACATATTCGTATCTAAAACATTGGTCTCAAGCTCAATTCCTGGAGGCCCGCAGCTCAGCACAGTTTAGCTCCAACCCTAATCAAACACACCTGATTCAGCTAATCAAGGTCTTCAGGATTACTAGAAACTTCCAAGCAAGTGTGATTTGGAGCTGGTTGGAGCTAAACTCTGCAGAGCTGTGGCCCTCCAGGAATTGAGTTTGAGACCTCTGATCTAAAAGGTACAAACATGCACCTTTTGAAAAGGTACCACCACAGTGACAGCTTTTGTACCTTTTTTTTCTGAGAGTGCAGGTCAAGTTAATTAAATCATAAAGCAAATGCAAACAAATGCATTCTGATAGTTTATTGAAAAGTGACGTGTAACGGGCTTAAATATTTTCTTTCGAACACCTAATCATGCACTGATTTAATACTATTCTTTTATTATTGCATAATTGTTGCCTTTTAAAGGGGAAAAAAAACTATATGAGACAACCTCTATAGCAGGGTTGCCAGGTTTTCACAAGAAAACCCACCCAATCGCTACTCAAAACTAGCCCAATCGTGTTTCGAAGGGGTCCCCAGTTAAAAATCGTGTTCCGGGGGGTAAAATACATGTTTTTGGCAGGGTTCCCCTGCTAAAATTTGCATTCCTGGGGATAAATATCATGTTTTTGGAGTCGCTTAAACCCGCAGACATGAAACACAACCCGCGGCAACAGTGTTAAAGTAGCCCAATTCCGTGGGAAAACCGCAGACTTGTCAACACTGCTCTATAGTGAAAATTTTGGGGCCAGAACTATAACTTTTCAATAAACTAATATTTTTATTTGGCAAGAGTGCATTAAATTAACCAAAAGTGAAAGAAAAGACATACATAAGAAGCACAACTGTTTTCAAAATTGATAATAATAAATGTTTTTTGAGCAGCAAATCAGCAGAAAGTGATTTCTAAAGGATCATGTGACACTAAAGATTAATGATGCTGAAAATTCAGCTTTGCATCACAGGAGTAAATTACTTTTTATAATATATTCAAATAGAAAATAGTTATTTTAAATGATAATAATATTTCAAAATATTTTTTTTTACTTTATATATTTCATAATTAAAAGCAGCCTTGGTGAGCATAAGAAACTTTTTTCAAAAGCATAAAAAAATCTTAAGAATCATATTAAATCTTACCAAATCCAACCATTTGTACGCTAGCGTATTTCAGTTAGATAGTATGTATCAGGAGTGTGATGCATACAGTTGCATGTGTGATACATATGTGATTATACACTGTAGGTTGTTATATTCTTGTCCCAGTGCACCCCTGCACTCGGGTGTCCATCAAACCTGCTCTCCATATGCTGCTGAATTAAAGCCTCTGAAAGGCACAAAAGCGTCACATCCTGTGCTACGGTTTCCTTTCATTACGTGTCAGTACTGAGCCCAACCCTTCAGCACACTTGTGTTAGGAAGACTAATAATGTTATGCTCTGTAACCTGCCTCCTTATTGCCCGTCTTGATAAACTGTCCTTGATTTATCTGCCTCCTCACAATCACACCCGCATCACTTCCAGACTGCGCTGCACTTAATCACCGCTCTCGACCTGACACCATCAGCCAACATATTTTTCATAATATCGCAAATCAGACACCGATTTATGATTTAACAAATCCCAAAACCTCCCCGGTAATATTTATTTTTTAACTCCACCATTATTGCCTCTCTGCTTGGCACACGTGACAAGTGAATCATTCTCAGAATTTACTTTATCTCGTACTGCGATTACCCATGTACAGGATATATGATTTACCACGTTACACTCAAGCCAATTTGTGTATGTTTTTCTAGTGTGATGTTACTGCTTGTAGATCTACTGTTATGTCATTAAAAGCTACTCTATTTATTTAATGACTTGATTTCTTTTGGCATCTCTGAAGTTATTTTAGGTCAGATCTGTGACTTGGTGTTAGCATGCTCTGGCTGTTCCTCAGGTCATATAATTCTCTTCTCTCCCTACTACGTTTATTTTTTTACTTTATTTTAAAAGCTTTTTATATCTGCTTATTCGCTTTTTTGCCTTATTAGTTCCATTTATTTTATTCTTCTATTTATTTTTATTTTTGTCAATCACTTTTCTACTTCTTTTTTCTCATTTGTATGTATGTGATCATTTATACACATATACACTACCATACAAATGTTTGGGGTTGGTAAGGTTCATTCATTCATTCATTCATACTATTGTGAAATATTGTTTACATTGAAATTATATTTTAATATATTATGTATTTATATTTTAATGTAATTTATTTCTGTGATGGCATAGCTGAATTTCCACCATTTCATTTCTTATTATTATCAGTCTTCACATAAACTGTGCTGCTTAATACTTTTGTGGAAACCATGATACATTGTTTTTCATATTCTTTGAAGATTAGAAAGTTTAAAAGAACAGCACTTATTTGAAATAGAATTTTTTATAACATTATAAATGCCTTTATTGGCACTGTAGATCGATTCAGTTGTCCTTCCATGCTGAGTAAAAGTATTAATTTCGTAAAAAAAAAAACCTGCATACCAACATACAAGATTTTTAGGAGTGTTTTTTATGAATAGAAACAAGAGAACTGCATGTATATGATCGATTTAATGTGTCCTTGC